GATTTGACTGATCAGAATAGGATCACAATTCACTTCGCCGCATTATATCCAGATATTTCATACAGAATCTCATTAGATCCTGATCCGAAAGTCTAATCAATAAATTGTGTTCAGTATTGGACCTAAAACTGATCTAGATCCAAGCTGAGTGAAATTTCTACTCGGGGCGTTGAAAGTTTACAAATTATGGAAATTTTCATTTTTTTCTGAACATTGCAAATTATAGTAGTTCTAATTAATCATGAACAAGATGCCCACGAGAAAAATATAGTGGAAAATATAGGAAATACGGGCAATTGTTAATCTCGGAGCAAACAAAGAATGAAAGACAAAAGGTAGATTTTTCAGATTCTGTCCGCGAAAATTATCGTAATGAAAATGTAATTGCTCCTGAAATAGTAACAGCGTTTTTCTTGGCGTGCTTATTACGGCAGTAAGCCCGTGTGTCTTGACAGCGACTTGATTTTTTTATGTGTTCTTGGGTTCTTATTCGGTCGATGAAAGAAATGACAACGCTATTGTAGCCTCTTTTGGTCATTTTAGTACATTAGAGTACAAGAGCACAAATTTCGTTTTCAACGAAAGGTCTGTACACACATTCGTTGAAAACGAAATTTATTACCGAGTGCTCTATAATATTTTATGTCAAGTCGTGCAGAAGTCGAGTTTTGAGCAGGCTGCGCGAAGCGACTTATTGCACGGCGCGACATAAATTCATTTTCTTACTATTTTCACAAATTTGTAGTTAAGAGAAAGTAAAAAAAACATTCGGAGAAAAATGGTCGCTTGACCCTCGATTACTCGCGTTCGGCCGCCATCCTTCATCCGTCGCACGGTTAGCGCGGCGTCGCTGGGTTAACCCTCCCGAGTGGAAATTCCGGTCAGGTCTTGATCAAGCTTGGATCAGGTTAGACCTGACCACTGATCAGGTATTGATCAAGTTGACGGAACCGGTCTTGATCAGACATGTTACGCATCTGACCAATTCGGATTTGATCAGGACGAATGGATCCGAACTTAACCAAGTCAACTGTATGAAAACCGGATGACCTGTCTGTCAGTGTCAATAAAAATTATCAATGATAATTAATCCAAAACAAAAGATAATTCAAATCATTCACCGTAGGCCGCCTCTCTTAATGAATCTCTGGTGTTATTACCTCTGAAAAAGCTTATTATTTTTTTTCCGATGCTGGTGATCGCACCGGGGATCCTATGATTGCTCATCCTATGCCCTAACCACTACGCTATCGTGCTATTACTATTGAGTAAGCGGTACATTGCCTATATGATTTGTATCGGGGTATTCGTTGAATTTACGATTATTCCTGATCTCGCGCATGTGCGTGTGTATTCTCAGAGATAAAATATGCTCAATTAAATTTTTATTTATTTCATTAATGAATAATAATAATGATAATAACAATAACACTAATAAATAAATAGACATTTGGTGATTTTTTTTCTCAAGATCATTTGCGTGTAAGTTTGATACTCCTCTAATTCGTATTTACGGCATCATTATTCCTCCCTTCTGTACATTAGCGAAGGGCTGGCTGTTAATTAAATTGATTAATTAAATTGAATTCATTAAATTAAATTAATTTAATTTATTTTACTCATAGTATAATGATCCTTTTTAAAAATTGAAAATAATTATTGATAATGGTTGATAAAACTTAATTTGAATAGTATAATAATAGTTAATTGAATTATCTGAAAAACTTATTAAAATTAATGTCAGGTGGACCGGATCTGAATCTGGTCATTTTCTCTTCAATTGACCCCGTTCAAATGGCGATCAAAGACATCAAATCGGAATTTGATCAAATTGGGGTCAGGCAGCCGATCTCAGGGTGAGATCGCGCCTACCTGATCAGAACTTGATCTGAATCATCCTGCAATTTTTCGGATCCGATCTACTGGATCAAAACTTGGTCAGGTTCTCATCAGGCATCATCTGATCATGTCTACCTGATCAGAACTTGATCTGAACCCGCCTGTAGTTTTTCGGATCCGATCTGCTGGATCAGAACTTGGTCAGGTTCTCATCAGGAATCACCGGATCAGTCGAACCTTATAAAAACCTGATCAAATTCTCATCATGCTTCAGGTGGGCCTGAAGCAATTTCCACTCGAACTAGTTTGGTCACCAAACGCGATCCTGCGATTGGTCACCTCCACGGGGATTCGCCGCCGTGTTATTTAGGCTTTAACGTTGTCGAATTCACTCTACACTGCCCGGGCGCGTTTAGCGAGTTTCCGGCAACGTCGCGTCATGGGCAATTTCATTGAACATGGGAAAAAATAATCCATACGTTCGAAATAATTTGTTTTTTTGCAGGAATTTTGGGAAATATGTTGTCCTAAAAACTGCTATAATTTTTTAGACCCTTCAATTGATAAAGTCCTTTTTCTGTACTGCCTCTCACGATTTCTCGTCTGGGAATTGGTATTACATACTTCCCAAACTCGAAAACTTGAAAATCACTACAGAAAAATATTATTCCTGGGCTGTTGCGATGGGGTTTTATTACTCGTGTGGTTGGCCAGTCCTCGCCTACGGCTCGGAGGGCAACGCCACACGAGTAAAAAACCCCATCGCAACAGGCCGGAAAAATACTATTTTTTTTCATTTTTCCGGTTAGTCAGTCAATTGTAATGAAAGAAAATCGACGCGCGGCGGGGTTTCCCTTATAGGGCGACCAATCTAGGGTTAAATCGAGCGCATTGTTGCAACGTTGGCGCTTATCGCTATGCGCGCATTTCAAGTGTAGTAGGGAATGTAGCAACACTGTCGCTCGAGCGGTCGACAGGGACTCACTCGCACCGGGGGGCGCGGCGCCGCTTTTCTGTCCGTTTGACGTTCCTTTTTTTTGCTAATCAAATTTCCTGAGAAAAAAAACAGACAATGCCAACGCTTAATAAAAGGATTGTACTAGGAACTCTAATTTTTTGGGAGTTTTTAAGCGTCGAAAAACACGCCAAAGGAGATTCTACAATGAACGCAACGCAGGCTTGACGCAACGCTTGCAATTGTCAAAATAATCGTAAAACAGTTGAATGATTGATTCAAATAAGTGCACGCGTCGCGTTAATCCTGCGTTGCACTTCATTGTAGAATCTCCTTTAAATATAAAAAACGAAAATGGGTGGGACCACCCTTAGTGAGCGAGTGATCGAGGGCTAAGATTTGAGCATTCTATATCATTTTCCATCAAAATTAAAAAAATTAGAAATGGAACGATTACAAAGCTTCAATTCGGAAACAAAAATGTTTAATTCTAGCTATGGACGATTCGAATAGGGAAACTGTAGCTTCAAGTTCATATTGAATTCATAATTTTCCACTGCTTAGAAGAATTCTTGTCGGATCGAACGATCACTACGTTTATGGAAGGGATTCTGCGACATAAAAGCGACATTCGCGCCGCGTTCTCACGCTTCAAGTTGCGATACCGCAGTGCTATGTCCCGCAAAGCTCGCTGATGTGTACCGCGGGGACTCCGCCGCAATCTTGTGTCGGCATGCATCATGTCATCCCAACGCGCATGAGCACATTGTTTTTATAAAGTTTCATTGAAGTTTAACAGTAACAAGGCTACGATTGCTACGATTGAGTGAAATCGAATCAAATAAAGACAATCATGCAGCCGGATTGTCTGGATATAGTGATTGAACTTCGGTTGTGGGCGATTGCGTGTAAAATTGCTGATTTATATCTGGAAAAATTGTTGAAACTTTGAAAAATCCATCCCAATTCTGTCCTTGAAATTTCAGTAGAACTGTTACTTGATTAAAATTTCCAAGAAATGTAAGAGAAATTTCAGCGAAAAATAAGTTCTCGTAGTGGGTAAGGGGTTTCTCGTAATTGGAGTTGTCTTCTAATTCGTGATGAAAAAAAATAATAGAGTAAAAAAATTAATAGAGCAAGAGAATATCCTTCATTGTTTAGTTTTTCACATAGTTTCTCACTGTTCCCTATCCACTTGAGGAGAGCATACGATTTGAAAAATGAAATTGAAAGTTTCAGAAAATCTCCATACTGTTGAATCTTGGGAACTAATTGCTGGAAATTTTTGGTAATTATCTATATACGTCATCGATTTTATGAAAACAAATGTATTTACAATTTCGTTTTAATTCTCCATTGATCCTACTGTCAGAAAATTAGATGCAAATGAAGACAATGTCCTGAAATTATATGAAATATATTGACAAATCTCTTGACGAATGAGAAAAAGAAATGACAACCCTTCACATTGACCTCATGTTCTACCATAAATTAGATATATAGCATAGATTTCTTTTAAACTCATTTCATTTATTACAATTCGAGGTTATGAGACAATTTTGTTTGCCGGCGTTCTCGAGAAATTCGCCTCAGTGTCGCTTGAAGGAGATTCTACAATGAACGTCACATAGGCTTTACGCAACGCTTGCAATTGTCAAAACAATCGAAAACCAGTTGAACGAGTGTTTTGAACAATTGCAAAAGCTGCCACAAGCCTGCGTTGCGTTCATTGTAGAATCTCCTTTAGGGTCCTGTCACAAAAATACTCGAAAAACAATTGAATGATTGTTTCAGGCATTGCGTAAGTTTCGCGATGCGTCCACTGTGGCATCACCATTACACCGATCTCACCATTCAATTGCGTTGACACTCGACCCTGTCGCGGCAATAGTACGCTGCAGACTTTCTACGTCTCAGAGTGCCTATCGTAGCGATATTCAATCTTGCAGGCCAACTAATGCTGCGACGTTTTGCGCCATGAAATGTCCACTACGATCTTTACAGCCATTTTCTTTTGAATAATTGAATTTACATCCATAAAATGTAAAACAATTACTGACCATAAATTTGGTATGAAATGCGGAAATTAAGGCTTTTATACTTACATTTTTTTCCTGAGCTTGACAAATTCCTTGATCTTGATCCTTTAATTTTGAGGTAAACATAAGTAATATTTTTTTTGTGGTTTTCTCTATGGGTTTTGCAGGAGTTATATCAGCGGGTGTGTCGGTGCCAGTGCAGATACCATCACAGACACCGGATTTAGCTGGCAACTATTGGCCCCGGCTTCAGTGATCCCAGCTATTCGGGTTCCCGCCCGCGAGCCTACTCGTAGGCCAGGAGAGCCCGCCTCCAGGACCACCAACACCTAATGCGGTATCACGACCGCTTCTTACTTCGCTCGGTCTACCACAGTCTATGCCACCTTCATCGACATCTATTACACATAGTGGACATCAGGCGAGTACACCTGCGACACCAGTCACTAATTCCGATGCCAGTGAGTGAACCAAATGAAAAATGAAAGAGGAGGGAGAGAACGTAGGATTTTTATGAGAAAAATCAAACGTGTTCTTGTATAAACAGTAATGGGGGGGGGGAGGGTTCGGAGACACCCGGGTCATGCAGGGTTCTATAGGGAAAGTTTAAACCCGATGGACCATATGTAAAACAGAAATCCATCAGTAGAATTGTTCCTTAGACTCCAGTCTCTCTTTTCAAATTCATAGGAATTTTGGAGAATGGGTTAGAGTATGATTGGATCAAGTCGTGGGGTTTGACTCAAGTTTTGATCAAGTTAGAAAGTTAGAAGATTCATTGTATTGAGGGTCAATCATTAGGTGGCGGAATGTTTTATCTTGGTAATAAAGATTTAATTTAGGTCTGGAAATGTTTTGAATCAGGTTTAACCCTGTAAGGTGAAAGTCTGACTAAATTGTACTTTGCGCGTCGGATTGTTAAGAGGAATGAGGATGCCTTTCAAGAGTAAACTACATTGATAAAATACATTAAACTTCGATACAATACAAATGAATATGCAATTGATAATCTTGAATTCAAGAATAAGAAATTATGTGAACGAATTTTGGATCGTTTTAACAAGCTTGAATAAATATTCAAAACGAAATTTTTTTTTGCAGTCTTCAGTCAAGGATTTCCTAGACACAAGTCGAGGATATTCATCTCTACAATCAACTATTGATTTTCCGCAAAATTTTAACTGGAACCATAACGAGAATTGAATTAAGAGCTTGTCATTCCTTGAATCAAGTTACAAATGATTGAGTCAAAATTTCATGAAAATTTCTATTCAAGTCTCAAAACTTCTGATTCCCGTCCTTTTTCCATCAACTCCGACGCACTCCTCCTGTTCATTCGAAAAACTTAATTCTAGTACAGATAAACTTGGTTCATGAATGAAAGAAGGCTTTAATGAACGTCTCCTAACTTCACTTTAAAAAATTATAAATCAAGAGTACAAATACAAATTGGATTAACTTTTTTGACTCCACATAATTGATGGTGGATTCGAATGAAATCACTAAGACTGTGTATCTCAATCTTATCCCTCAATTTAAATCGAAGATTGATTGATTCACCGGATTTCGACTCAAAACAAATGTGCAATTTGCAATTACGCTAGAATTAAATTTGCTAAAACTTGAAGAAAATCAAACAACGTTTTGATTCAAGTCATCATTTCATTTACTCCTGAATAAAATATCACCTAACTTGATTCAAATACAAATAACGTTCGATTGACTTCCCGAAATTTTGAGTCAACAAAAATAAAAACTTGAATCAAGCTTCCAACCCTCAACCGGCGCCGAAGCAAGACTCAGTGAATCTTTTCCTTCACCTCGACATAATCTGGACCAAATCGAATCAGAAGCGCCCTTAAAATCTCCCCTGAAAAAATTTTTCATACTCAAGTCAAGTCAGTTTCAAAACTTAAATCAACTCTTTCTCTGTGAAACATCCTTAGTATAACTAGGGGGAATAACTACACGAAACTTGGAGATCGATTGTGCGGCGAATTTAACGTCTGTGTGCTGTATGGTAATTGCGGAGTCAAAGATGTGTGGGATGTTAGGAAGAGGGAGGGAAGGGGGGAGATAACTTGAATAGAGAAAGAATTTGAAGGAAAAAGAGAGGACAGAGAGGGGTTTGGATCGCAAGTTTCCTACTGACGGCTGGTGGTATTCTCGCGAGGTTTGAGCGTAACACGGGGTGGCCATTGGGGTGAAGAGGGTGGAGGATGGGTGGGTGAGTTCTGCTCACTGAGATGAGCTTTTTTCGGGGAGACAAAAGAGGGGGCAAGGAGGGAGGGGAGCAGAGAGAATTGAATGGAATGAGAAAGAGGGCTGAGGCAGTTTGCGGGGGATCGTTTGATAGCTGCCTTCGAAGGGTGGTTTTCTTGGAGTCGGCCATCGCGCTTCCAAACGAGATATGGCGTCGTATCCCAACTGTCGTACTTGTCGTATATCTAATCGGTGTTATCATCCATTTATTTTTGGAAAGGAACAAAAAATAAAAATCATTTCAACAATTTTATTTCTCTCATTTATTGGTGCCTATGAAATTTATTGTTTTCATAATTAATTAATTAATTAATTAATTGTTAAGTCGATTCATGAATATTTTCTGTTGGAATATAATTTTTACGGAGCACTTTAATGTATATCTCTTTCTTAGGACATTTCTTTCCATGAAAAAGTTGAATGATGGAATTTAATGGGGTTCGTGTATAAAAATATTGTAAAATACAATTTGTTACTATCGTTTAGATGATATAATGTATATTAATCGCATTGATACTTGTATATACAGAACGAGGAGTGGTTTTTTCGGACGTATGATTATAGCATATTCATAAAAAAAATACATTTTTAAACAGATGAAAAAAATAACAGTAATATAACGCAATTGATGTTTTATACCTTCATGTCGAAGTAGTCCATGCCAGTAATGACCATTCAAACATTTTTTCAGTTTTCCACCCCTTCGCCCTCCACTCCACAAAACAAATTTATGTTTACGCTCATTGCCATTTTTATTCCTCCCCCATGGCTGATTCCTCATTTATTATTTATTTTTTCAGTAATAAATTCCAAATTAAATGCATCAAGTGAATCGAAAAAACTTTTGTTCGATGAAATAGCATTTTATTGGAAATAAAAATTATCCGGGAATACGACTGAGTGGGCTGGGGAGAGAGGAGACGAGGCTGGAGTGTGTAGAATGCGTTAACGAAAATAATGAAGTACCACAGGTGAAAAAATCATCCACCTGTGAAGCGGTATTAATTTTGCAAGCGAGTTGCGTTTATCGGACCTTTTTTCCCGCTCTGTCGTATGATTCAATCATTTCATATGACATTTTTTTTCACGAATTGGCTGACCCTCAAACGTCGAGTGAAATTTCTAGTTTTTTTGTTTTATTCATTTTGTTTTTAATTTCACTGGCAAATATGATGAAATTACCCTGCAACGTCCAGCAATATATAGCTAATCATTGATAATTTATAAGGACTAAAAAAAAGACAGCAAAATTTTCCATAACAATCACTGTAGACTGGTAGAATTGACAGATGAGAAGGAATATGAATGATCAAGAGTGTGCACTTGAACTCATAATTGCAGTCAATAAATAGTTATCCATTAACGCAGCAGAGCAATTAATTGAGAGATTAATTACATTATCGATGCGATTATAATTAATTGTGTATCATAAAGTGTAAGAATTATAAACTCTAGTACCAATTAATTGATAATTAAAGTCAGTAGGAGGCGACTTTGTCGATTAAGGAAACAAAAAGTATTTAACAAATTTTTATGGAAAAATGACGTGGAGAGGCGGGGAAAATTAATTGAGCCACGTAATGATGAAATCACAAAAATGATGAAAATACATTCGCGAATGAAACAAAAAATAATGTACATTGATTCTTAAATTTATATTTTTGGAACTAAATGAAAAGATTAAAAAATCACGTGAAATAAATTTAACGATGACAATGTTCTAATTAATAATACTGATGGAAGATAATTAAATGAATAAAAAAATTATAGCAATATAAATATATAGCAAAGAGCGACATTGAGGAGCTCCTTTCAGTTTCTAAAATTCAGTCTTTGAGATGAAGAGAGAAATATTTCGTGGATGGCAGATATGAAAACACCCTCGTTGGAAAAAGTACTCGAGGGGTGGCTGAAGACGCGCATTTATATAGAATATACAGAATATATATGTATATACATAAAATTGAACCTGCCCATGCCACTTCCGTGTTAACGTTTCGTTGAACGTGATAATTAGAAAGTGCTTTCTCCCGAAAAGGCACTCATTAATGTAAAATTGTTTCACCGTGTGTTTTAGCCAAAGATGCAGTGAATTTTCACTACTTAAGTGAAGATTAAGAGGAAATGATTTCATTATGTTTCAAACCCTGATTCAATTTTAAGCAATTGAGGTATCAAAATTTCAAAGTCATTGAAATAAAACCAAAATCTTGAAAAAAAAATCAAAACTCACATCAATTTTTTTTAGGAAATAAAATTGGGAAGCATATGACTATTGGGTTTTTGCACGATTTTTATTCATATTGAAAATCAATCAATACGAAATGAAATGCAAACAATTGAAAAGCAACATTTATATTTCAGAATTTTTCCATTCAAAAAATTTCATGCAAAAACCCAATTCAGAAATGGAATCAGATGAGAAATATCTTCTAGAAGGATGGATTTTATCTCTTGACATTTTGTTCTATAGCTGCCAATTCTAGAGATATCACATTTTCAAACTAATTTTCATAGGAAATCTGTGACTTTATCAGTTTGAAACGATTCCTCATATTAAATTACAAATATCTCTGAAATCAATAGGTCCAGAGGGAAATGCCACAAGTCTACTGTAATCCAGAAAAATTGTCTACAAAAAGGCCTTGTGACATTTCTCTGCGAACCTATTGGGTCCGAACATATTAGCAAAAAATCTGTACAAATTTCGTAACTCATCTTTTGTTGCCCCTCGTCAACCCATTCCAAACTCCCCAAATGCAATCAATCATCTTCTCATTATTTATAAACATATATCACCTAAAAACTGTACAAAGGTAAAATGAAACATACTCGCATAATTTCTCAATAAAACCAGAACTTTATTGAAAAAGCATCGAAACTCACAATTTCCAGCAATATTGCAAACTGTACCAACCACCTCCCGACCGAAACAGAACGCGGGAGTGGTACACGATTCTTATTACACGTAGCAATTAAACAAAACCGAGAGAAAAATTACAAAAAAAAACTAATACGAGAATACAGTGTATGCGCATAAACGAAAAAAGTAAAAAAATTATCAATGAAGAATACCCTAATATATTAATTGCGGCAGTAATCTATGTAAGTGTTGTGAATAATGAGATAATATTGTTGCTGTGATTACCTCTAAGATTGTAAGTAGCAGAAGAAAAAAAAACCACAAAAAAATGGAAAAAATTAATGAAATAATTAGTACCAACTATTAGATGTCACTGTCTTAATTCAATAAATGTTATTTCATTTTAAACTGACGAATATTTACATATCCTTTTCTCCTCTTTTTTCTGTTCATGTCACAGCCAACTCATGAAGCAACAGTTTTGGTCTACCACAACATTCAGTATTTCATTTGACAGCTCAATGAATCATGTCTGTATTCTCTTGAAATATTAATTATCGTCGATTAAACGAGTTGAGTCTATAGTCACACATAACACTGGGATAAAATGTTCCGAAAACTCCGCCAATTGACTTTTCAATGCCAGCAGCATCGAGAGTAGCGATAAACCTCATCATTTTCTCTCAAAACAAGCACTTGTCGTCCATTTCTCACTTGACTGAGGAGTGGAGATCTCTCAGATCTTATGGTAGTGTAGTTTGCAGGACTGGGGAAGGGTGGTCGCCCATTCAGCCTCTTCCTCTGAAGACTCATTCCAAAAAGAGCCAGCATGACCCAAATCACCGCCAGCCATATGTCTTCCAAGATGTAAAAGAGAAGTACAATCATAAATATGATAATTCCAGTAAAAATCTCATTATTCAACAAACTATCCACCAATCCTACCTTCCCCCTGATACGGTGGCTGAATTGTAGCAACATTAAATCCACGAACTACCATTCGACGCACTGTGTTGATCACAATATACTTGAGATTGGATCCCAGCCAGTAATCGATTGATAGAACTATTGTATACGCACCAACGAATGCACAGCAAACGATATTTGAGCTTAATGGAAACATGCAGAGTAATAGAGGTACCATTATCATAATTGCTGCATAAACGACCCAGAAGTTTGCATCGTTTTCAAACAGTGCTATACCATCTGAAAATGGAAATAGTAAATCAGTAGAGGGGCGGGGCAACTATTCCAGTCAAATACCATATATTTGCTCATTCACTAATCATGTCGAAAACGAGTGGTTCTACAGAATCAAGAAAATTCGTTTGAAGAGTTGAAAATTGTTGACAGATATGTCAGACAGATTATCGGGCGATACTGTTTAAGCAAAATTTCGAAACTATTTTTTTTCCGGTAGTTTATGCAATTTCATTGAAAACAAATTCTCCAATATACGAAGATGTGTACTGAGTAATCAATTTAATGAAGAATAAATGCCCTTAATTAGGTTTGGAACAAAAGAAATCAAACTTGATCAAGTTGATAAGTTCATCTCTCCATGTTATAAAAATCCAAATCGACTTCTGGTGATAAAAATTTGGTACTGGAAATTAGCACTCCGAAATTAAAGGCCATAAGTATCATGTGGATCAGAATAAGGGTCACGAGGGTCTAAAGAAGGGTCATGAGGGTCAAAATAGGGGCCACAAGGGCCAGAATAAGAGTCAAATAAGGGTCACAAGAGTCAGATTGAGGATCACAAAGGTCAAATTACGGGTCCACATAAGAGTCATGGGGGTCACAAGGCTCAAAATAAGGGTCTCAATGTCTCTCTATATTTTTAAAATCTAAATCTACTTTTGGTGACGAAAATTTGGTGCTCGAAATTAAGACTCCAAAATTAAGGATCAAAATAAGGCTGACGAGGGGGATGAGTGTCAGAATGAGGGTCACGAGAGTTAGATTAAGGGTCACAATGGTCAGAATGAGGATGGGGCTCATATGGGGGTTGGCGAGCGGAGCGAGCAGGGGGCGTAGACCCGTAATAATGTAGAAAATCAATCGAAAACTCAATAAATCGATGTAATCAATGAATAAATTCTCGAAATAGTTATTCGATTCCCCATAAATCAGCATCATTATGTAGATTTTAATTCCTTCTCCATCCCCCATATCATCAAACATTTGTACTTTCTGCAATAACGCATGTAGCAAGCGTGTAATCTAAATAGGTTACGTACTAAATAAATATTGGGGACACAATTAGGTAAATGTCGAATCTTTCAAGTTGGCTACAGTCTCCGTGGGAGTCTGATGCGTGTGTACCCAGAGTTTTTCGGCGGATGGTTCACCATCCCCCAGCAAAATGACTGCGTAAAATCTCTGTATATGAAACGAGGGTGGCTAGGAACTGAGGGTGGGTTGAATTGCGTTATGGTGAGAAAGGGCGGGAGGCGAGTTTTTTCTCTCTCACTCTGGAGGGGGATTTCAACAGGCAGTTTCCACATGAGTGGTTAACATTGATAGAAAGGGCCGACGGGGGAAAATACAGAAGGAGGCTGCTTCTGGGATGCTCATCATCCCTTCACAGAATTCAAACTAACTTGGCATTCTTTTTTCTCTCCCCTCTTATTTTGTAGGTTTAAACCTTTCTTTCATTATTATACTGTAATTTGCAACTAGTTCCCCTGGGGATGATATCATCCGATTGTTTTATTTATCTCTTTCTTTCTTCTCTCATGTTGTTCAAATTAATTGTTTAAGCATAATGATTGCATAATTCATATACATCACTATGAAAAATATTAACTGCCGAATCATCTCGAGAATTACTCGTTCAGTAAGGAAATGCGAAGATACTTTCTGTTGGATCTTTTTACAATTGCCTATGATTACAGCTAAACTTAAATTATAATCGAATAGATTAGTGACAGAAAACGTTACATGAATTTTATTTAGAAGGGAAATCACTGGTCGCTGAGATGATTAGATTATCAATTGGATGAAATATTCGACCTGTTACGTTTCATCAATTCATCATACAGTTTTTAAAACTAAATCGAGATGTAGGAATGCGTACCTGGTATGCTAAAGTAAGTTATACTTGCTACCAAAGCACCGAGAGATAACGTAGCTTGGAGAATAGCAATGCATGGCATTCCGAACGTACACCACAGAGTTATCGATGCTATTCCGGTCAGGACGCCTATTAAAAGAGAGAGTCCGAGTTGTGCTGAAATAAAGCGTCAATTATATACTTCATAGGAAGAAAAATTGAAGAACTGATTTTGGTACGCAAAGTAGTGGAAGTGAAAAAATTCGAAAAAATTTTGTAGACATTTTTTGCGAATATTTTAAAGAACACTATTGAAAAAATTTTTTCGTGTCACGGGACCTGAAAAACCCCATTTTCAGTCATGAAATTGGCGTTTTGCAGGTTCCTCGACACGAAAATTAATATACACACCTCGCTATGGAAAACATATCACCCTCCCCCACGTGCTTGCCATCCTTGCCTTCGGCTCGGAAGGCAATCTTCCACATGGCGGACGGTGATCTGTTTTCCAAGGCTTGGGCATGTAATGTACTATCTTGTAGTCTATGTAGGTGTCCACAGAGCTCTATTGGTTCTTTTCACTAAGCACTAGGCCGTGTTGTATTTGTCAGTGAATTCCTAAATTGTTTCATGGTATTCAGTGTTTAGTTTTTCTCACCAGAAATATCTTCATATTCAGCAGCCGCAAGACAAATATGCCCAACGACCCCTCCGGAGATCGTCCCCAGAAAGAACATCTCAGCGCAGAACCAGACGTGGCCGATAAACGTGAGGAAAAAACCGACGAAGAGAATTGTTGCACAGATCACTTTAGAAATTGTTGTGTCTAAAAATGAATCAAGGCATTAGGATTAACTTATACTGTTCGGAATTGGATACTATTTGTGAATTAATTCTCTTACGTACTTAGAAGTGAGCATGATTCAGGGTTTGATAATGGACTACAGGCGTATGAAAAAGCTGGGACGTATGCAACTGACGAATTCTTATATCTCGCTATCATTGCGTATACTGAGCCTGTTCCGGGATAGGCACTGAAGACTCTCCTCATTTGGGATGTTGAAACTGCTGGCGGTACCTGAGTCATAAAATTGGTGGTAAGCAAGCAGAGATTCAATCCGATCCGACAGAAAACATGTAACCGTTACTTTTCGCAATACTATTGTTTCCGAATGGAAGCTTTGTAATCGTCCATTTTTACGATCTTCTAATTTTACTTGAAAATGATGTAGAATGTCATGTCCTCTCTATAAGATACCTCGCTCTCCGAGCGCTCAAGGCCTACCCTCACTGTCGGCATTTTTATCGCCTCCCGAATGTTTACATTCCGTGGGCTTCTTATTTTTTATTCTTATTTTTATCGTTTTTTTACATCGCTTCGACCCGGTTAGGGTACATTGCGATGATGATCAAGACTTTAAATGGTCAGATCGCACCATTCTACCCGGCCGGGATTTGAACTCGGAACCTTTCGCATGTGAGGCAACGAACTTACCCACTGCGCCAAGCCACCGGGATGTGGCCTTCATATAACATACCTATGGCCCTGGTCATTTTGCAACGGGAAGAGGATAGTTATAAGGATCAAACGGTGTTAAGGGTCAAACGGAAGGGACAAACGAAGTGGGTCTAATGACCTTAAAGGGGGGTTACACCACTTTTTTCAAGTAGTGGAAATATACATCGATTTTTTTTCACTTTTCCCATTGAAAAATCGTAATTTTTCGTCGTGATTATTCTCGAGTCCACCAACAATCCACCAATATCAGCTGCCATTCTATCACGCGGTGTTATGTTTAGAGAGAAAAGGGAACGCGAGCGATACAAATGCAAAACATTAAAAACATATAAATTGATTAGTTATCGATATTCATTCAGTAAAAATGACAATTTCATTGAATTCGGGCGCAACGAGCGAGGTATCTTATTTGAAGTCCGTTGATCCCTATTTTTTTCCCCTCTATGGGCGCGCGTACTGGGGGCATAGGGGTGCTCGGAAGTCCACTCTCCTACTATCCCTAGGGTATCTTATACGAAGCATCTGCTGTATTTCTACTTAACCCTCCTGAACTGGCTCAATGAGCACCGCGCTGCCCGTTTTCGAATTTTTCTTTTTTCAATGAAATGAGTCAATAAAAATCTGAAAAAATTACAATGCCTAGGGGAGACCGGGGCAAAGTGGAACGGTGGGGCAAAGTGGAACGTCGGGGCAAAGTGGAACGGTAGCAAATTTTTTTCTTGAGGAGTCAAACACGCTTAAGGGTCAAACAGGGAAGTAATCGGAAGGAGCAGCAGTTGTTGAGGGTCAAATAAAAAAAATCACTACGACATGTAACCATATTTCGAGTAAGAAGTCTTAAATTAAGAACCGTTGGGTTCTCGAGGGGGTACCAAGATGAAACATGGGAATCTCCAGTTGATAAGAATATTAGAGCGACTCTTAGTATATTATGAAGTATTTAAAATAGTATGGAAAATATTGAGGCTCAACCCTTTTTGCTCCTTACGTAGATGTAAAACCTCGTGTTTCGAGGTTTTGGCTTTTAAATGTTCCTCGCACCACGATTTTCATTCCACTTGAACTGTTTCTTTTCAATGTTCGTTAGATTCCATAGAATGAAACTACTTTTCTTTTCTTTTTTTTTTCAATTCAGTCACGAAGCGGTAAAACCGTTTAAGGATATCCAAGTATCTTTTATAGTTTGATACAAACCACAGTATAGATTCAACAATTTTCAATCATCACATTTGTCAATTAAATTGTGACAAAAATTAAAAAAAAATCGTGGATATTCAGCGTCATTCAAATTATAATTTTGTAGGGAATTATCATTTTTTTAAACATTCCCTTCTTCTAAATATATATATATAT